TTATATATATGATTTTTTTTGTATTTGGCAATATATAATCATATTCGATTTGATTTCCGAGTTTGAGACGCGTGGATTTATTTTTGTTTGATTCCGACGTTTCGCGGACATTTCAGTCCACTTCATCAGGGAGGAACGACCCGATACCAAGTTGTTCCTGAGAGGTCTTCCTTATATAGTAGTTGGTATAGGGGGAGAGAGCGAAGGAGACAGGAAGGAGGGGGGGGGGTAGCAGAAGGGATGGTGATGTGAAATTTGTTGTCTGTCATGTTTTGGAAACCGGGAGGACGGATTGCCAGATTGGACTGATCTTTTGTTCATTATCCCTGTTGAGATTGTTGGGGTGCTTTTGAATTTCCAAGGATTCCCTGTATTTCCTAGGGAAGTAGTTGTTGATTTTGGCCAGTATTTCGTTGAACAGGATTTTGTGTCCGCTTTCTAGATTGAGTTCCGTTAGTGCTGACTGCGTTACATTTTTCAGTTTGACTGCGCTTTGATGTTCCTTCATACGTGTGCTCACCATCCTCCCAGTTTCTCTTATATAGATTTTGCCACAGGAGCAAAGGACACGATATACTCCAGAAGTGTCTAGTGGAGGTCTTCTGTCTTTTGGGTTGTTCAGATACTGTCCTATTTTTGTTGGTGGTTTGTAGATGGTTTTAATATTGTGTTTTTTCAGGATTCTGCCAATTTTGTCCGTAATTCCCTGTATGTATCGAAGGAAGGTGGTGATGGAGTTACGTTCTTTTGTCTATTCCTGGAGTTGTTCAGTCCGTACGTTTTGATGTCTTCTGATTTAATGTTTCCTGATTGTTTTGTTTATCTGTGTTACCGTGTAGCCATTATTTTGAAGAGTGTTCCTGAGATCCTTGAGATTTCTTTGGATGCGGTTCTTGTCGCAAATGGCTAATGCTCTGTATATTAGCGAATCGAGGACCGATTGTTTTTGAGCTGGGCGCTGATGTGATTTGGCATGGAGATATCGGTTGATGTGCGTAGGTTTCCTGTAAACTTGGTGACCCAGGGAGCCATCTGTTCTTCTCGTGACTAGGACATCCAAGAAAGAAAATCTGTTGTTTTGTTCGACTTCCATTGTGAAAATAATGTTGGGATGTTGTGTGTTGAGCGCATGAATTCCTGGAGTTTTTCTTTTCCGTGTTGACAGATGACGAAAGTGTCATCTACATATCGAAGCCATATTCGGGATTTCAACTGGCATTTTTGGATGACTTGAGATTTGAAATGTGCCATAAAAATGTTAGCTATGACTGGAGAGATTGGGGATCCCATGACTGCACCTGAAATTTGTTTATAGAATTGATTATTGTAGCTGAAATATGTATTAGTCAGGCAGTGTTCGATTAGGGGGATAAGATCTGGAGGGACTTCCTTAGCCTCAACCCTTCGACCAGACTTATCTCTCACACTGGACCACATAATGTATGAACAATCCCAAAACATTTACGTACAGTCATCCCAACGACAGACGGAAAAATATCATAAACTAACAAAAAACAGTTACACCTCCTCCACCAAACACAGTAAAGAAACCTATTCAAAGCCATCTTCTCAGAAACCATTTCCGCCCTTCACAAAGGATCAAACTTTGCAATACCTCCAACTAAAATACCAAAGGAAGAAATAATCAGTCAGATAGAATTCTCCCTGTTCCTATTCCCACAAAAACAATCTAGCAATGTCCGTAGATTAACAGCCAATATACTATAGAAATCCAAACTACCAAAACAGAACCTGACCAAACCAGTACGCTCTAAGACAACTAAACCAGGATACGGACATCATCATCTTTCCAGCGGACGAAGGTAACACAATAGTAATAATGAACAAAGAAGACTATGATAAGAAAATACAGGAA